TAGTGTCTTTGACTTTATTTCTCATTTTAATTTTCTTTTCATTCATTTATAATTAGTATCTTAAATTTACTTTCCATTCTATCCATTTTTAATCATAATAGAAATTAATACTATTTGACTTTATTATATAGATATTAATTAAATATAAATTTCTTTTAGTATTTATTTAATTCATTTGCCTTTCTTATATTTATTCATGGTGTTTCATTATTAATGTAATATTAAGTGTGTTGATACTATATTTTTTATTTCTTTTATTTTTGATCATTATTTAATTATAATTTTATTTTGTTTTTATTACTTTCAATATGTTTAAATTATTACTTTATTTATTATTATTTTCATCTTAGTCATATAAATATATATTTAATTAAATAATATTATTTATTTATTTTTAATATCAAAGAAAAGGACAGGCTTAAAGCAACTAGATGTCCTATTCTGATATTTTAAATAAATAAATATCTCACTTATAAAAATCAGAAAATACATATTGTTTTATTTAAATTATTTTCTTAGAAAAATAATCATATTTTAATAATTATATATTTTTAATATTAAGAAATGAGCTGTCTTAAAGCACCTAGAAGTCATTTTCTGATATTCTTAAATAAATAAATATCCTATTTTTATAAATTATATATACTAATTTATTTTAATTATTTTTATAGAAATATTTTATTAATATTTATTTATTTTTTTAAATATTAAGAAATGGGTTGTCTTAAAGCACCTAGAAGTCATTTTCTGATATTTCTAAGTAAATAAATATCTTATTTATAAAAATAAAATATATATATTAATATATTTTCTTAAAATTATATTAATAAATTCGAAATAACATGATTATGAATTAAATATATTTTTGAATTTTTAAAATTTCCAATAATAGAGACAATTTATAATTAATGAGTATTAATTTTGGGCGTTATGGGGTGCTAATCCTTCCCCAAACGTAATCGACCACGAATCCCTTTTTATTATTAAAAAGAACGAATTTTTGGTTAAAACGTAGACTAGTTTATCTTTTAACTGATGTTTTCTTAAATACTCTTTTAAAAGATAATTTTTAGGTATTCGACATACCTGACCCAAAAGGCCGATGGCGGCTCCCTAAACATTTTAAAACCCATTTATTCACATCACTTTTCCCGTCAAGTAAAAAAATTCGTGCCCAGACGAAAACCGGTTACAACACCCGTAGTTTCCATAATAAACATAATATATGTTTTATATATATATATATATTTGTATATGTGTTAGGATCTACTTATATAATGTAATTTTTTTTAATTTTACATAGATTTAAGACTGTTGAATAAGTGAAAATAAATGGTTAAGTTGACTCTTTGTTTCTTTTTTCCAATGAATATCTTCTCATTTCCCATTGTTAATCTCAACATCTATTTTCGCCCATCCAACGGTCCAAAATTTGTGTAAAACTAAAAGAGTTTTATATTGTATAACATGATCATATCAATATATATATAGATGAATGTTTATTTTTGGTAAAATTATTGAACTATATTAAATAATCATTTTAATTAAATTTAATCAAAATTATTGACTTAATTAGATTTTGTCCTAATTTTTTTAAATTTCTTTAGTTAGTCTATATTTTTCTTCGTCTTTGTAGTCGACAGTGACACTAATTTTAGTGAATATTTATTATTTATTATTTATTTTATTATAGCGTATCTTTACCTTTTTCTTATTTTAAAATTTTTAATAATTCTGGCTTTATGGCATGTTTTCGATCGTTTAATTGTTGTTTTCGTTTACCTTTTTTCTCAGTGTTAGATTTGACATCACCACGACTGATCAAGATAGCTCTTATTTGTTATCATGTTGATCTTCTCTATTTTTGACCCTCGAATCGGATTTGGATACGCAATTTGGGTTCGTATATAGTTTTTCACGTCGCCCAACTTTAATTTGCAATTTGTTTGTGATCTTTCAATAACTTTATTCCCTTTTGTGGTTCGTTTGTTGATACGGTCAAACATGTTCATATATACCTTTTGTCTCAGTTTATTTAGTTAGGATTTTTGAATATTTTCCTTATATGGTACTTGTGTAATCTTAAGTGATTAATTTTCTTGTGTTAATGATTATATGAAAATATACTTATTATGTGTTTAGTTTACGATTGTGGTCGTAAACTTTCATTGTAATATAGATTTTTTTTAATAAAACTAATGACTAAATAAAAAACAATAGTTATTAAAATTTTAAAAATTATAAAATAATTTTCAAATTTATTAATTATTATAAAATAGTTAATACGTGAACAAATTCACATTTAATTGACACATAAAAAATTATTTTTTAAAAAAATTTAAAATTAATAATAATTTAAAAAAATTAAAACCTCTCAAAAAAAATTGATATTTATGATTTGTCCTTGTCCATTTAAAAAATCCTTTTATAGAATTTGTTAAATTTTGATATTGTAGCATGAATCAAGTGGTTTATGTGGTAAATGAATTATTGTAATTATTTAAGGTCCCGAGTTTGAACACCACGAATGCTAGGAGTGTGAGCGTTCAATGTCAAATGATTAAGAGTTATATTTGAACACATACTACAATCATGATTGTGATGTTATAATAATATAAAATTTTGATAAATTTAATGATCATTTTATAACATTTTGATAAAAATTAATGACAAAATTTATAATAGTTGATAAAATTTAATGATCATTTTATAATTTTTAAAAAAAATAATTATCAAAATAAGTATTAAAATATAATTTAATGACTTATAGTATTTTTATCCTATTTATTTAAGACAACAATGATGATTGATGAATCGTATAACATTGCGTCGAACTTAGTTGTAAACTCCATTCGATTTCACTTTTTATCACTTGTAGTCCACATGACTTTAGACTTTACTTAAATCATTTCTATCTTTTTATTTAATAAATTATAATATGTTAATCAAAATAAATTAGAATTAAAAATAGTACTTATTTTTCAAATTAGTTTGATAAACGTTTCATCTTCTAGTCGTATATTAAATTATCATTACAAATAATTAAAAAGTAGTTAAATTGTAATTTTTGAAAATTTAAAGGAAAGAAACATACTTCTTAGTAGATGGGTAGGATTACTGTACAAGTCCTTATAGTTTCAATTAAATTAACATTTAATTAATCAATAATCTTACACCCAATTAAATAATAATATAAATATAAAGTTAATAAAATTAGGCTGGATTTATAATTATTTATTGGTATTATTATAGGCATACCAAAAATCATATTCTCGTTATATATTTACATGTAAAACACCCTTTCAGATATATTTCTCGATCTAACACCCTTTGCAGGAAGACACTGCCGATGCACCGTGCCTTGTGCCACGTGTAAAGATCGAATGTTAGTTTCGTAATTTTTTTAAAATAATGTCTAATATGTAATTAATTTCTGTGAGAGTGATTTTTATGTTAAAACGTCAACTTTTTTATTTATTTGTTGTGTGTGCAAAAAAAACTTTCTACATTAAAATATTTAAACATTCTTTTACAAATTATTTTATAACTATTTTTTTAATTTTTGCATGAAATTACACAATATGTATAATCTATTATAGGAAAATTTTGAGGATAAGTAATTTAAAATATGAATAATTTTATAAAATTTTATTACTAATATTTCTTTTACAAAATGATGATGATGATGATGATAAGAAATATTTTATAATTTAAAAAATTATAAATTTCATATATTTTTGAAAATTTTATTGTTTTTTAAAATTAATTGTTTAAAAATATAAAAAATACTAAAATAAACTTTTAATTACAATTGATGGATCAAATGAATTATTATTCATTAATTATTACTTTTTAACAACAGTTAATAATGTTTATTCATTTTTAATAAAATTAAAATTTAATATTTATTTAATATTTTTTAAAATTAATATTAGAAAAAATATTTTAAATATATAAGTGATATTTTTTAGCTTTACATTCTTTCTTTTATTAAATTTTGTTACAAGTTTAGAGAGTAACACAAAATAATAAAAAAATCTTTAGATTTTCATGTATGTATTTATACTTTTCTTTTAGAAATATTTTACCATAATTTTTCTTAATTAATTTGAATAATAACATAATAAATGATTAATTTGAATTATAACTCATTTATTTAAAATTCAATAAAAATATAATAAAAAAGAATTAAAAGTGAATAAAATTCAATAAAAAATAAGGTAAAGCTAAAAAATATCACCTATATATTTAAAATATTTTTCAAATATTAATTTTAAAAAATATTAAATAAATATTAAATTCTAATTTTATTAAAATTGAATAAACATTATTAAATGTTGCTAAAAATAATCATTAATGAATAATAATTTATTTGATCCTTCAATTGTAATTAAAAGTTTATTTTTATATTTTTATATTTTTAAACAATTAATTTAAAAGTCAATAAAATTTTCAAAAATATATGAAATTTATAATTTTTTAAATTATAAAATATTTCTTATCATCGTCGTCATCATTTTGTAAAAGAAATACTAGTTATAAAACTTTTATAAAATTATTCATATTTTAAATTAATTATCCTCAAAGTTTTCCTATAATAGATTATATGTATTGTGTAATTTCATGTAAAAATAAAAAAAAATAGTTATAAAATAATTTGCAAAAAATATTTAAAGATTTTAATGTAGAAAGTTTTTTTTTCACACACAAAAAATAAATAAAAAATTGACGTTTTACATAAAAATCGTCATAACATAAATTAATTACATATTAGACACTATTTTAAAAAACATTACAAAACTAACACCTAATCTTTACATATTAGGCACGATGCATAAATTGCATCTTATCTCATATGGTGCCACATTAACGTAAGACGTGATACATGGATTGTACTGTTCTATAAAATATGTTTGATTAAAAAATATATATAAAAATATATCTAACAGGTAAATATATAATGAAAAGGTTATTTTTGAGGAAAATTACCATTATTATATAGGAAGGAAAATAAAGAGAACCATAGATAGTAATGTTCAAAGCTCTGCCACTCACAGTGGGCAGCTGCTTCTTGCATAAGCTTTTAATGTCTACCAACAAGCCTGACGCTGACGTTCCCTGTCTTCTTTATAATCCAAACTCTTTACAAACAAAACTACAAACAAAAAACAATGGCTTCTTCTTCTTCTTCTTCTTCTCCAAAGCTTTCCTTTTTCTTTTCTATTTCCTTCGTCTTTTCCTTCCTGTTTCCTTTTTCCCTCGCTCGTTCCCCTCCGCCAACAACCGCGACTCTCGATGTCTCTGCTTCTCTTAAACAAGCTCAACATATTCTTTCCTTCGACCCACAATCTTCTGAACCCTTTTCCGTTTCCGAAACCCGACCCGTTTCCTTCAACTCTTCTTCCTCTTGTTCTGTTTTCTCAGTTCCACTTCACTCTCGTGGCTCCATCCGCAAAACCCATCATACCGACTACAAAAACCTTGTCCTTTCCCGACTCGACCGTGACTCGGCCCGAGTTAACTCACTTATCACCGAGCTGGAACTCGTTGTCGACTGGGTACACAAGTCGGAGCTGAAGCCTGTTCCCACCGAGATTGAACCCCAGGCGCTTTCTACTCCTGTTATTTCCGGGACGAGTCTAGGTAGTGGGGAGTATTTCACCCGGGTCGGAATCGGTAGCCCGGCTAAACAATTCTACATGGTTCTCGATACCGGAAGTGACATTAATTGGATCCAATGTGAGCCCTGTTCAAAATGCTACAAACAAACCGACCCAATATTCAACCCGTCCGCGTCCTCCAGTTACAGCCCGGTTTCTTGCGACTCAAGGCAATGCTCTTCTCTTCAAGTCTCGGAATGCCGTGGCGGGAAATGTCTTTACCAAGTCTCGTACGGGGATGGGTCGTACACGGTGGGGGATTTCGTCACTGAAACGGTGTCGTTTGGGAACTCCGGTAATATCAACGGCGTTGCTTTGGGTTGTGGACATACCAACGAAGGCTTGTTCGTTGCTGCTGCCGGTTTGCTTGGGCTCGGCGGTGGCCCCTTGTCTATGACATCGCAGATCAAAGCGACGTCGTTCTCTTATTGTTTGGTGGATCGTGACTCGGCCGGGTCGTCGACTTTGGATTTCAACGCCGGGTTACCGGCTGACTCGGTGGTCGCTCCGTTGTTAAGGAGCCGAAAGGTGGATACCTTTTATTACGTAGGTTTAACCGGGTTCAGCGTTGGTGGCCAACCGGTTCAACTACCGCCTGGTGTTTTCGACCTGGACCAATCTGGAAGCGGTGGAGTGATCGTAGACTGCGGTACAGCCATAACCCGGCTGCGAACGCAGGCTTACAACGCACTCCGAGACGCGTTCGTGAGCTTAACGCGCGACTTGCCGACAACCGGCGGGGTGGCGTTGTTCGACACGTGCTACGACTTGTCTTCGAGGAGCAGCGTTAGGGTCCCGACGGTGGCGTTTCATTTCGGCGAAGGGAAGTCGCTGGATTTACCGGCGAAGAATTATTTGATACCGGTTGACTCGTCGGGCACGTTTTGCTTCGCGTTCGCGCCTACGTCGTCATCTTTGTCTATAATTGGGAACGTGCAGCAACAAGGGACACGTGTGAGCTACGATTTGGCTGGAAATCGGGTCGGGTTCTCTCCACGTAAATGTTAAAAGAAAGTAACTAAATTGCTAATTAGTTACTCTATTTGCTGACAACAATCCCTTTTACCTGTGGTAAGAAAAGGTTAAGAAAATGAAGCAAGTTTGTTCCTTTGTATTATTAAGGTTAATTTTTTACCATTACTGTTAGTAGTACTACTTTCTTTTTACAGTGGCAAATAAATTCCGATGAAGAAGAAGCTTTGGAGTAACGTCGGCAGTTAATTAGTTTAACACCCTTTTAAGGGTTATGGTTTCTGAAATTAGTGTTTGTATTATATAAAAGTTGTAAATTTAGTTTTTGTGTTTTAAATTGATAAATTTTAATTTTATAGATATTAATTCTAAAATTTTTATGTGATTCAAAATAATATAATTAAGGATGAAATGAAGATTAAATTTGAGGATTATGACCCTCTCAACTGACATATAGCTTCATCCTTAAATACATTAAATAATTAAAAAATGAAACGATAAAAGAATTAAAATATATAAATTAAATCAATAACTCTCATATAATATAAGGAGTAATAAAAGAATTTGACCCACCTTAAAAAATAATGTTAGCTTTTATAATTTTATCTGCAATTAGGGGTGTTCAAATTTTCGAACTAATTGAATTAGTTCGGTTAATTCGGTCAGTCACCGAATTAGTTTAGTCGGTTAACGGTTACGAAAATTTTTAGAATTTGATTAATATTTAATTCTGTTCGAAATCAGTTAATTAATCGAATTAACCCTTAAATATTTATTAATATTTTTTCATCTCATAACATGTTGTCCCCCACTTTCTTTAATTGCTCCTCGGTTATCAATTTTTTTACCTTGATTTGTGTAAGGTATGGGGTTATGGGCACGAGATGGGTGGAGGCGTAGTGCATGACTCTGCATGAGCAATACACTACCCTCCACTCTCTCCTTTTCTAATTCTCTATTCAGGGTTTTCTTCAAATTGGTACTACTTAATATATTCTTTTATATAATATATACATGTGGGCAAGTATTTATTATATAATTCATCAAGTGTTTATATAAAATTACATATCTTTATGAGTGGATGAAGTACTTGTTTATATATATATATACTTCATTACTATTTAAAATTTTAAATGTAGGTTAAAAAAAGATAAAACCCATCATACTATGTTTAATAATACAAATTAATGGAATATGTATATTTTTTAATCATTTAATTTTGGTAATGAAACAATTTTGTCCGATGTTTTTGTTTGCTTCTATATCTATCTTCATTTTGAAACTCTTTATTTTTACTCTTTATTTTTACTCTCTATTGGGAGAAATAGTCTTTTTGTTCATACTTTGCTTGAATTACAGAGTCAAATCTTGGGAACTTTTATGTGTTTTGGTTTGAGTTTTTTATCAATTGTAAAACCCAGGTTTATGCCATCTCTGATCACAATTTTCTTGCCTTCTTCATCCACTTCATGTTCAAGAGGCTTGTGCAGTAAGTCCTACATAAAGGAGCTAGCTATCTTCCTGATTGTAGCATCAGAAAAATCAAGCATTTCACCTAGCAATAGCAGCTATCTTCATGCACCATTTATTTTGTAGAATTTCAAATTTGTTAGTTTGTTTAAACTAAATTGATAGATACAAATATCTTATTTTAATACAATGTTTGAATCAAATTAATTAGATATTATAAACTATTTTTTAATTAAAAAATATTAAATTCTAAAATTCTAAAACATTTCGGTTAATTCGAAAATTAATCGAATTAACCGAAATTTATTCGGTTCGGTTAATATTTTCATAAAAAAGTTTGATTCAATTAACGGTTAAAGAAAAAAATTCGATTAATTTGATTTAGGGTATTTTGATTCAGTTCGGTTCGATTTTAATTAAATGAACACCCCTATCTGCAATGATTGAGGTGATTGCAATGAGCATTATATTGCAAATTTGATTATGTTGATGTATTTGTTTCACAATTATGTAAACGCATGCATGCGTGCCACGTGGCTATGAGATTTCTCGATTGATGGATTGTGATTTTTTATTTTACGTGAGTGGAGCGGACAGCGGGGAGCAAACTCAGAATCGCATTGATTGATTATTATTTTAAAATACGAATGGTATATTAGGTTTTTGAAGCAAAGAGTATTAGGCACGAACGAGCGACGGCGGCGATCGGCGTGAGTTTTGAGTTTGAAATGAAGATTTTTAAAATTTTAGGATTATTTTGAAATTAATGAGTTTAAGGGTTGAGAGGAAGATTTTCAAAGTTTTGGAATTATGTCGGATTATGTCATTGTTCAGAACCATAGTGGATATATGGATATTAGTCCCTGACAGAAGCTTCAATATTTCATGGTCAGAATCATATATAGAGTTTAATACGGGGTACATTCATTGATCTTACGGTATCGATGGTTCGATAAGGCGATGGCAAATTGTTCCCTTTCCGACCATAGTTCACCCCGATCTTGCTCGAGATGTCAGCTGCTGTTCAACCATGAAAAAAAGGGTTAAATTCAATAAATTTTTTTGAAAAAAGGACATCATTTTCGACAGTTAAAGACTTACAGTAGACAACAAGAAGAGAAGACAAGAGGATTGTTGCAAGAAGAGCCGCCATTGCTGATATATTCAAGCTGGTTTTGTCTTCTGTAATGCAGTGGATTTTCCCTTCAGAGAGTTCATTGGTTTATAAAGTGGGAAAATTTGGGTAAATTAAGTGAGAATTAGTGGATAGCACACATTAATTTCCAAATAACCTCAAACTTTGAAAACCTTCATTTCAACCCCTAAACCCACGCCGACCACCGCCGTCGCTCGTTCGTGCTTGTCACCGCCCAGCCCAATTGAAACGCTTCGCCGCCATGATCAAAGCCCCCAAAATAATCTGTGGATAGTCATCGTCGTTCTCCGGAATCGAACCCTTGAAGTTTCATAGAAAACCAACCCGCCACCTCGGATTTTGGACAATTCCGGCCGCCTCGAACCTCCGTCCGCCTCACTACCACTATATTTAGCTTCCTCGCCGCAATCCGCTCAAAACCCAACCGATGGGTCACGTCGTAGTCTCAGTCCACTACCGTGGGTAAGCTTCGGTGTTAGGATTTGGGTTTTTTTGTAATTTAAAATAAATAAGGATTTTTAAAAAATATAATAATATTTTTAATATTTATTTTTTAAAAATAAAATTTCAAAATTACCATATTGTGACATGTGTCCCTTAATGGAAAAAACTAATAGTTCGTCACGACGTGACTCATTTTGAATAACGGAATAAAACGTTAAACACCAAACTCAAACAAAAAAAATAGGCACTAAACTAAAAAAACGATAATACGTTAAACATTTTTTTTTGTATATTTAAACCTTAAAAAATAACAAAGCACGACATGACATCAATAATAACTTTTTTTAACTAAATATATATATATTTTAAAATCTCCAATTATTTGCATATTGCAATCATCTTATAAATTTGACTAAATACAGAATTATAAATTTGACTAAATACAGAATTAATAGTCTAACATTTTAAAGAATTATAAAGGTTCAACATTTTGTGATAAAACAATTATTTAATTTTTTAAATGTGCATAATAAGTATTCAATTTAATTCAATTAAATACAAGATTTAATATTTTTAAATAAATAAAATATTATTTGAAATATTATAAAATAATTATTAAACTTATTGAATCTACGAATAATATTAACATAGGCACTAATTATCAAATAATAATAACATAGCTCAGCATTCCATCTTAAATAAAGATTTTTTACATCTGCGTGATTAAAATTAGTATTTATGTAATAATGTTTATTTCATTTAAATTTATTATAAGTATCATTGTTTTGAAAAACGGACCGATCGGTTCAATCGGGAACCGTTGCTAATTCGGTTTAATTTACATCGGTTGAACCGCTACTAGTAAACCGACCGGAACCGTTGAACCGTTCGAACCGGACCAGCTAAAAACCGAAAAAAAACCGCTAATTTTGTTTTTTTTTTTAAAAAAAAATTAAACCAAACGACGTCGTTTGTTAAACAAGCCAAGTCGAACTCGAGTATTGCTGAGCTCGACTCGAACTTGAAAACTTTAAAAGTAAGCTCAACTCGACTCAAACTCACGAGCTAAAAATTATCAAGTTCAACTCGAACTTGAAATATAATATTGAAACTTGAACTTGAAAAGGCTTTAACTAAAAAAAAATTAGAACCCCGATTGAAGCCTAAAATTCGAGCTTGATTAAAGTGAAAAAATAGTTCACTCAATGCTCACCAAAAGGCTCCATGATTTTGAATGTCAAATTACTTCTATTATTTATAGAAGTTAGTTGGGATGCTCTTCTATGTTTCTTAGTCATGTGAGATTGTTTTGTTATCATATTTTTACTCTTTAGACTTTTGGATGTTCTTCTATGTTTCTTAGCCATGTGAGATTGTTTAAAAAAAATTAAACCAAACAATATCATTTTGTTATGATTTTTTTAGTCCAAAATTATTTTTTAATTATAGTTATATAATTATATTTATTATTTAATATGTTTTACATTAAATATTATGTTGTAGTTAATTTGAATCATTTTGTTTAAATTGATTTTATGGTTTTTAACTTATATATGTTATGATTTGCTTTGAATATGACTTGTGATATAAAAAATTATTTTTTATTAAATTTTTTGATATTTTTATTTATTTTTTTAAATAATTATGACGTCGTTTAATTATTCCGATCGATCAGACCGATTTAACTGATTAAACCAATAAATCAATAGTATAATCGGTTCGCTAATCGATCTGATTCTGAAAAGCATGATAAGTATTGATATCTTAAATAATAAAATTTCTGACATGCCATCCGTGATCAATAAAACCTGTTTGGTTTGGGTAATGGCGAGTGGGGCCCACGTCCCTTTCCTAGGGAGTGACGAAGAAAAAGAAGGAAACAGATCACATGGCGCGTGGGACCCTCCAGAAAATTTGGAATGGTCGTCAAGTCAACTGTTGCAAGACAGTCAGGCAGATATATATCACGAAGGCTTTATATATTGAACCAAAACGCAACACGTAGGCTTTATATAATTTAACTTTGTCCATGTTTGATCTTAATTATGATTCTTTTAAGTTAATTTAATGTTAAT